GCCCATCAGCAGACGAATGGATGAGGAAGCTGTGGTACATATACACCATGGAATATTACTCAGCCATTAAAAAGAATTCATTTGAATCAGTTCTAATGAGATGGATGAAACTGGAGCCCATTATACAGAGCGAAGTAAGCCAGAAAGATAAAGACCATTACAGTATACTAACACATATATATGGAATTTAGAAAGATGGTAACGATAACCCTATATGCAAAACAGAAAAAGAGACTCAGATGTATCGAACAGACTTGTGGACTCTGTGGGAGAAGGCGAGGGTGGGATGTTTCAAGAGAACAGCATCGAAACATGTATATTATCTAGGGTGAAACAGATCACCAGCCCAGGTTGGATGCATGAGACAAGTGCTCTGACCTGGTGCACTGGGAAGACCCAGAGGGATGGGGTGGAGAGGGAGGTGGGAGGGGGGATCGGGATGGGGAATACATGTATATCCATGGCTGATTCATGCCAATGTATGACAAAAACCACTACAATATTGTAAAGTAATTAGCCTCCAACTAATAAAAAAAATAAAAAAAAATTAAGATGAATTGCAAAAAAAAAAAAAAGAATATATGGAATGGTGTGTTGGGTAGGAAAATTGAACCCTCAAATCTTCGTGACCTTTACACATAAAAACACCTTTCTTACTCACCATACTTTAATAGTGAGGGTTGGAGCCAGATAATCTGCTCCATATTGTCACCTGGGGATCCAGAATAATGGTGGGTCCATTACTGGTGACATTGCTAGTCACAGCGTCAGGGGAAGAGAGACTTTTCAGTGCCCCAGCCTGGACTTACCACATGCCCCTGCCAAACACAAAAGAGCTAGGAAATCGTCTTTGCATCTGCCTGGGAAGGAAGAGGGAACTAGATAGTAGTGAGTAAAAGCGGTGTTTACTACAGAATGGCAGGAGGCAGTTCAGAGTACTTAGCAAATAGCAGCTGAAGATATATAAAGGGACTACAGGAGGAAAGCGCTCATGAGACTCTGCCGTAGGTATAAATCTCTGAGTACCAACCCTGAACGCATCACTTATTATCTCCTTGCTGACCTCCATACACTTGGAAACATCTGCCATAATGTTAGTCCTTGACTGTATTGCAGATAATCTTAAACCGAACTCCCTTAAGCCTCAAAGTCCCAGGTAGGAGAATTTGATTAACACAGCAGGTGGTTTAGATCGCATGTCCACATTTAAGCTGCAGACAGTGGGGAGAGGAAAATTCTGCCTATTTCAGATTCCCTGGACAGAAGGATGCTTTTGCTTCTTGAATTTAGGATTCCCTCTAAAAGAAGTGTGTTTGGATTTGGGGCATCCAAGGCATTAAAATATGCATTTTATAGTTTGATTTGCATATTTAAGAATTTCATATAAACAGAATCACACAAACTATGTCCTTTTTTTCCTGGCTTCTTCCAGTATATTTTGAGGGCCATTTATGTTGTTGCATGTATCAATACTCTGGTCTTTTTTATTGCTGAGTACGATTCCATTGTATGGACATGCCATGCCACGATTGTTTACCTATTCACTTGTTGTTGAACATTTGGATTGTTTCCACCTGTTGGCTACTACCAAGAAAGGTACTATGAACAGCCATAAACTGGTCTGTCTATGGACATAAGCTTCCATTTCTCTTGGGTAAATATCTAGGAGAGGACTTGCTAAATTGAATGGTAAGTGCTTGCTTGAATGATTAAGAAATTGCCAAACTCTTCCAGAGTAGTACCATTTTACATTTCCACCAACAGCATATGAGAGCTCCAGTTCTTGCATTCTCACCAACGTTAAGGTGGTCAGTTTTCTTAATTTTAGCCATTCTAATAGGTACGTGGTGGCAAATATGGTGATTTTAATTTGCATTTGCTAAAGACTAATGATACATGTGTGCTAGTCATTTCAGTCATGCCTGACCCTTTGTGACCCCATGGACGTAGCCTGCCAAGCACCTCCTCTGTCCATGCTTCTCCAGGCAAGAATACTGGAGTGGGTTGCCATGCCCTCCTTCAGGGGAAGATTAATGACAATAAAGACTAATAGGATTTTCTCATATACTTAATTGGAGAAGGCAATGGCACCCCACTCCAGTACTTTTGCCTGGAAAATCCCATGGACGGAGTAGCCTGGTAGGCTGCAGTCCGTGAGGTCGCTAAGAGTCGGATACAACTGAGCGACTTCACTTTCACTTTTCACTTTCATGCATTGGAGAAGAAAATGGCAACCCACTCAGTGTTCTTGCCTGGAGAATCCCAGGGACAGGGGAGCCTGGTGGGCTGCCGTCTATGGGGTCTCACAGAGTTGGACACGACTGATGCAGCTTAGCAACAGCAGCATATACTTAATTACCTTCTCTGTCTGTTTTAACTTTTTGATGAAATATCTATTCAAATATTTTGCCCATTTTTAACTATATTTGTCCCAATCTCTAGCTTCCTTTTCACTGTCTAATTGTTTTTTCTCCTTTACATTTTATTGTTTAAATTTTACATGTAGGTCAGTAATCCATTTTGAGTTAATTTTTTTTTTTTTTTGGTATGGTGCAAAGTACTGATCAAAGGTCTCTGTTTTGTTTTGTTTTTGGCATATGTACATCCAATTGTTTGAGTCATTTGTTTAAAAAAGACTATCTTTTTTTCCCCAATGAATTACTTTTTCCTATTTGTCAAAATCAGTTGTCCATAGACATGTAGATCAATTTCTGGACTCTGGGTCCTGTCCCAATAATCCCTTTGTCTATCTTAAAATCAGACAGTCTTAATTACTGTATCTTTAAATATAAAATTATACCAAAATAAAAAGTTTATTTAAAAATATAAAAATGCAAAGGCTTAATAGAAAATGAGCAAAGCTATTAACAGTTTACAGAGAAGGAATTACGAAGGCTCTTTAATATCCAAAAAGATGCTCAACATCAGCTGTAATACCAAAGATCTAAACAGACATTTCTCTAAAGAAGACATACAGATGGCTGACAAACACATGAAAAGATGCTCAACATCACTCATTATCAGAGAAATGCAAATCAAAACCACAATGAGATTATACTAACACATATATATGGAATTTAGAAAGATGGTAATGATAACCCTATATGCAAAACAGAAAAAGAGACACAGATGTACAGAACAGACTTTTAGACTCTGTGGGAGAAGGCGAGGGTGGGATGTTCTGAGAGAACAGCACTGAAACAAGTATACTATCAAGAGCAAAGCAGATCACCAGCCCAGGTTGGATGCATGAGACAAGTGCTCAGGGCTGGTGCACTGGGAAGACCCAGAGGGATGGAGAGGGAGGTGGGAGGGGGGATAGGGATGGGGAACACATGTAAATCCATGGTTGATTCGTGTCAATGTATGGCAAAAACCACTACAATATTGTAAAGTGATTAGCTTCCAACTAATGAAAATAAATGGAGAAGAAAACCCATCAGCCATAATAAAATAAATGCAAATTGAAACTCTACTGAGATACAATTCCCACCTTTCAGACTGTCAAATACTAAAAATTTTAGCAGTGCACTATATTGATAGAGTATAAGGAAATGGGTGCTTTCATACACTGATGATACAAGTTAAGCTGGAACAATTTCTATGGAAAACAATTCAGTAACATTCATTTAAATTTTAAATGGATTTAACTTTTGACCCCCAAAATTCCGTTGCTAGAAATTTATCCTGCAGCGTAGTTTAATGTTAGGGCTTCCCTGCTGGCTCAGACGGAAAAGAATCTGCCTGCAATGCGGGAGACAGGGGTTCAGTCCCTGGGTTGGGATGATCCCCTGGAGAAGGGAATGTCTACCCCCTCCAGTATTCTTGCCTGGAGAATTCCATGGACAGAGAGCCTGGCAGGCTACAGTCCATGGGGTTGCAAAGGCTCGGACATGACTGAGCGACTGACACATATAGTTCAACATGTGCTCATAGAGTATGTTCAAGTTTTTTCACTGTAGCATTTCTCAGAATAGCCAAGACAATAAACAACCAAAATCTCTAGCAATAGAAAACTGGTGGAATAAACCATGATATAGTCATATAGCAATATAGAGTTCACTAGAAAAAGAATGAGTCAGATATATGAGATGTACTGGAAAGATCTTCAAAATGTACTGATAAAGGAGGCATTCAAAGTACTGAAGAGTGTTTTCAGTATGCTTCTATCTGTGTGAAAAGGGAAACTATATACTTAAAAATGTATATATGCTTTCAGGACACAGAATAGTTATGGAAAAAACCCAAGAAACTGTGAACAGTGATTGCCACTAGGGATGATGGGAAAAATTGGTGCTGAGGTAGAAGAAAATTTAATGTACATTATATAATGCTTTTTCTGTTAGAATGTGTCTTTTTTCAGAGAAAAATTATTTTAAAGAAGTTTTTCAATAATAGAAACTGTTCTTAAAAAAGTGTTTCAATAAGAAAAACTATTCTTAATAAAGTGATTCAATAAGAAAAACTATTTTTAAAGAAAATAAGGATGCATGCTATCTCAAACACAGAGTGAATATCTCAGGAAGTGTAAGTCCGTATGATTATCATTTTCTCTATTGTGCTCTTTTGCACTTGACAAATTTTAAGAATGAAAATGTGTTTCTTCCATAATCAGAAAAATAACTACTTTTAAAATATTCTAAGAAAGCATAAGAAGAGATTAGCTTTACCTGGAATAATGGACAATGCCTAAAACAAGATGAAGAAAAAGATGTTGCATTTTCTTCTGTCATTCATAAACACACATAGCACACTGTTCAAAATTCATTTCTATAGGCAAAAGTTAATAAAAGAGGAAGGAAGTACAACAAAGGAAACTAAAAGCAAAGCAGTTTTAAGTCCTTTAGTTTTTCAAGTAAGAAAAAGTTCTACCATCTGGTAGCCTTGAGTAAAACTTCCTACCAAATGTATCATTATGACAGTATCATTATGACTTTTTAAAGTTCTCATCATGAAAGGGTGGTGACATCACCATTAGCATAAAAGACTCAAACCCCAGAGAAGTATTGTACAATAACTGGTTTTTCTTTTAGAATCCCTGAAATATAATGCTCTGAAAACATCCTAGGACATTTTCTCTTTATATCACCAAAACTAAAGGTAAGGCTCTTAGGAAGGAAGGATATGAAAGTTTGGATCATCTGGCAAATTCCCAGATAGGGATCATCCCCAAACTTCGGCCTTGAAAATACATTGTACAAAATAGGGCACACATCAACGTACTACTACTGGCCTTTAAAAATAATGTCAGTGGGGCTTCCCAGGTGGCACTAGTGATAAAAAAAAAATGTCATTGAGGGCAGATTGTCAGAAAATAATCTGGCTAAATGGAATCTCATCGCATGCATTTCTAACCGTCTTGAATTTTTTTTTTTTTGGACTGTGCTATGCAGCCTTCAGGATCTTAGTTCCCTGACCAGGGATCAAACCTCTGCCCCCTGCATTGAGAGCACAGAGTCTTAACCACTGGACTGCTAGGGAAGTCTCTAACGGTCTTGAATTTCAAAGGTGGCCATTTCACATTGCAGGGACACTAAAACTGTGCCCAGTTAAAGCATTCCCAATGTGGTGTTATTTATAAAAAAATTATAAGTAGAAATGTAATGCAAGCCACATTTGAAACTTGAAATGTTACAAATGTGAAGCTACACTGCAAGGCACAGATGTAAAACATCCTGCTCACTGAATTCATGTTCAAAAAGTAAATATCAGAGACCTCCATTTTACTCCAACACATCACCTACAGGCAGGACCTATTTTTGGATGATGAAATCAGTTAATGCTTGTAAACCATAACCCTTAACCTGACCAAACACCTTCAACACAAGCTTGGTCATTGGTTGAAGCCAGATATTCCATTTAAGAGCTTACTGCCTTTAATTTAAAATTTTAATCACTGTTTACAACACTGGTGGGTCAGACAATGAAAAATCTGCCCGCAATGCAGGAGACCTGGGTTTGATCCTGGGTCAGGAAGATTCCCTGGGGAAGAGAATTCCCAGTATTCTTGTCTGAAGAATCTCATGGACAGAGGATCCTGGTGGGCTACAATCTATGGGGTCACAAAGAGTCAGACATGACTGAGCAACTAACACTTTTACTTTCTCACTTTCACCTTTGAAAGAGTGTATATGTTTTTAGGTTTCTGGTACTCTAGACTTTGAATAAATCATCAGTCAAAATCTTTGTGAGGAAAATACATGTATATATACATATCAGCTTTGGAGCAGAATCTATCTAATGCATAATGATATCATCCTTAGTACCCCATTTTATTGTCACAGAAGCCCAAGTGAAATAGAATGAGTTTTACTGAATTTCATTTACGCAAATAGGCTGGACTTTGATAAAGGACTGTGAAAAGAATGGGCTTCCCTTGCCACTTCCCTTGTAGCTCAGCTGGTAAAGAATCTGCCTGCAATGCAGGAGACCTGGGTTTGATCTCTGGGTTGGGAAGATCACCTGGAGAAGGGAAAGGCTATCAACTCCAGTATTCTGTCCTGGAAAATTCCATGGACTATATAGTCCATGGGGTCACAAAGAGTCAGACACGACTGAGCGACTTTCACTTATGAAAAGAATATCACAGGCCCTTTGCACCTAATCTAAAATGAATCCCTCCTAAAGGGCTCACCTTATGGGAGATTTCTCCAGCACTTCAAACACAATAGGTGGTTTTCCTGACTCAAGTCTGCTTTCTTCCTAAAGCTGAGCATTCTGGAATCAGACACTTGGATTAATGGCCAAGTTTCCACAAATTGATATGTTATTAGAAGATGGCAAGAAAATTGTTTTCTACTTCCCAAAAAACTTTTTCTCCTCTTTTTTTCTAGGAGACAATGAATACCAAATGGAAACTGCTGTTATTGATTGCATTTGCTTTATCCTTGATGTGGATTATGCATCGTTCTCAGTAAATACAATAGACTTATGAGTTATTATATTTAATGACTGGCAGAATTGATCTAAAATGCTGAATGTTGCTCAAAAATTATTAATAAATATTCCCTAAATTAATCAGGAGTTACTTTCCTTTTGGGGAACAAATAAAATCATAAATATATTAATTCTTTCATTTTTCAACATTCAACAAATATTTATTGAGTGCCTCCTTGGTGCCAGGCCCTATTCTAAGTTCTAGGAACTTAGTACTCAGGAACAACACAAAGTAACTGCTCTTATGAAGCTTTATGTTCTAGGTGGAGGAGATGGACAATAAGCAAAGAAATATTTAACATAATGACAGGAGCATTGTATTTTATGTCTTAATGCTATAAGAAAGAAATTATGCAAGATGAGAGGACTGAGAGTGTTAGGGGGCTATTTTAGATGCATTTTAAGCTATATCAATAATCCTCTAATAGAAAAAGACTCAAAGTAACCTCCTACAGAAACACAGATATGCTGGGAAATAAATTAGTTAATCTGCTAAAATTCTCTCGCACAGAAAAATTCAAATCCTTCCCTCCTCCATGGGCTCCTTTTCATGATCTTTTTAAAAGGAGCAATGCAACGCTCCTGATGCTATTTGACAATCAGCTAAACTGTGAGAGCTAATACCTTTTAAAATTAACCCTACTGCTTTAGTTTCACGTTCCATATGTTATTTGCCCTTTAGAGGTATTGTGCCTTAAAAATAGAAAGGACTTGTGGTCACTTGTAATAGTATTAATATCATCCTTTTGAAGATAATGTGCTTGCTCAAAAAGAAAGTAATAGACCATAAGCTCATTGCAGGCCTGGATTTCAGAACTGTAATATCATGTCAGAACGAGATGCCATGTATTCTAGAATTAGGAGCACAGTGCCTGGCAGATAGTAGATACTTAGTAATTATCCAGCTAACAAGTGAGCGAATGAAAGAATCTGAATTCTAGATTTTTTCTTTGTTATTCAATTGCAACGGCAATTTTTTCAAATTTAACACTAAAATGTCTTTTTATCTTGTATCTAAAGAATAAAGAAGAACCTGCAGAAGATGAACTTCTGCTGGTAAGAATCTTTTTTCTGTAAGTACTTTACAAATTGCGTGGAGGACAAACTGACTGGCGTCAAGTGGGTTCCAAGGGTAATGGCCTTCAGGAAGACCAGAAAACTAGACTGAAATCTCCAGACGCAACCACTGACAAATCCGGGGGATGTCAGTTCAGAAATATTTTATGCACACACATATATGCATATATACAAGTTTGTATGGATGTCTTCCAATTTCGCTCACTTGACACACTCATTTGCTTAAACCAGAGAGTTTTTAACATTTTCTATGGTTGAAGTATGCATCTTTGTCCAGGATGATATTTTTCTTTAGATTGACAGCCCTCTCTAGTCAATCATGTTTTCTACCATTGACCATTGTGTAGGACCCAAGAAATTAGTGAAACCAACCCTAAAAACAACTTTAAGTTCTCCACTTGTCACTGTATAGTTTTTAATAAAGTTGGGCAATTTGTATTTTGAAAGAGCTTAAATCTTGAGCAGTCTTATAAGGAAATAACTTCAGTTAAAAACATCTTTGAAATGGCAAAAGATACACTTTAAAGTGTTCTTTAATATTTGATTTTGAAATAATTATAGATTCACAGGTGTTGCAAAGATAGTATAAAGAAGTCACACATACCTTTCACCCAATCTCCCCCAGTGTCACATTTTACATTCAATGACAATTCAATTCAATAACAAAACAGGAAATCAATGTTGGGACAATGTATGTATATAATTATATGACATTTTATCCCATGTGTAGATTGATGTAACCACCACAGCAAATCAAGATACAAAACTATTCCATCACCACAAAGACCTCCTCTGAGCTACCATTTATACACATAGCCAATTCCTCTCCCTGACTCCCCCTAAACCCTAGGACCACCAGATTTATATTTTTATTTAAATCTTGCATTTTCAGAGGCATCCTCTGATACTGCTCCAGCTGGGAAATGGGTTGGCACCTCCCTGTTACAGTCAGTTGAGGTTTCAGGTTCTCAACTCTGCCTCCTTGTTCGTGTAAGAAGAGTCTCAACCCCTTGTTACTAATGAGTGGGGCTGAGAGTTTAGGTTCCGTACATGGTCTCCACTGACGCGGACCACAGGAAGATGCCCACCCTGCTAAGCAGTGGTGAAGGTTCTAACCCCCACTACACCAGTGAGGAGGGGAGGGAAGTCTCATAGTCTGGCAAGCATGGAAGTTTTAGCTCTCCACTTGGTCTTTGCTGGAGGGATGAATATGGGGCCATAGTTATTCTGTCATACTGGGCTGGAATAGAGTGAGTAGTCTCAGAGTTTTCTGTCTTGCTAGGCTGCCCTTTTCCTGGTCCTTTAATTGTAAAGAGCAGGCTTTTCTCAAAGTTCTTTTTGTGTTTATACTCATTGACATTTCTGGGTTACTGGCTTCTCTTGAACTTGCTCTGGAATACACGTGGCAGAAAACCCAGGGAACTCACTGCCATGACAATGCTTGAGCTCTGGGGTATCTACCTGAACTGCCTTCTTTGCTTTCAGAGTCTTCTTTTGTTTGCTTCATAAACAATGTCCAGGGTGTCTTGCTATTTTTAGGGGTGGTTGTTGTTCGGTTGCTAAGTTGTGTCCGACTCTTTGCAGCTCCGTGGACTGCAGCACACCAGGTTTCCTGCCCTCCATTATCTCCCAGAGTTTGCTTAAATTCACATCCATTGAGTTGGTGATGCTATCTCACCATCTCATCCTCTGCCACTCCCTTCTCCTTTTGACTTCAACCTTTCCCAGCATCAGGGTCTTTACCAATGAGTTGGCTCTTTGAATCAGGTGACCTAAGTATTGGAGCTTCAGCTTCAGCAAGAGTTCTTCAATGAATATTCAGGGTTGATTTCCTTTAGGATTGACTGGTTTGATCTCCTTGATGTCCAAGGGACTCTCAAGAGTCTTCTCTAGCACCACAGTTCAAAACCATCAGTTCTTCGGTGCTCAGCCTTCTTTATGGTCTAACTCTCTCATCTGTATGTGATTACCAGAAAAACCGTAGCTTTGACTATATGGACCTCATCTCACATGCTAGCAAAGTAAAGCTCAAAATTCTCCAAGCCAGGCTTCAACAGTACATGAACTGTGAACTTCCAGATGTTCAAACTGGATTTAGAAAAGGAAGAGGAACCAGAGATTAAATTGCCAACATCCATTGGATCATCGAGAAAGCAGGAGAGTTCCAGAAAAAACATCTACTTCTGCTTTATTGACTACACCAAAGTCTTTGACTGTGTGGATCACAACAAACTGTGGAACATTCTTAAAGAGATGGGAATACCAGACCGCCTTACCTGCCTCCTGAGAAATCTGTATGCAGGTCAAGAAGCAACAGTTAGAACTGGACATGGAACAACAGACTGGTTCCAAATTGGGAAAGGAATACATTAAGGCTGTATATTGTCACCCTGCTTATTTAACTTCTAAGCAGAGTACATCACGTGAAATGCCCAGCTGGATGAAGCAAACACTGGAATCAAGATTGCTGGGAGAAATATCAATAATCTCAGATATGCAGATGACACTTATGTCAGAAAGTGAAGAAGAACTAAAGAGCCTCTTGATGAAAGTGAAAGAGGAGACTGAAAAAGTTGGCTTAAAACTCAACATTCAGAAAACCAAGAGCATGGCATCCGGTCCCATCACTTCGTGGCAAATAGATGGGGAAATAATGGAAACAGTGACAGACTTTATTTTGGGGAGCTGAAAAATCACTGCAAATGGTAACCACAGCCATGAAATTGAAAGACGCTTACTCCTTGGAAGAAAAGCTATGAACAACCTAGACAGCACATTAAAAAACAGAGGGCAGGAAGATCTTTGCCAACAAAGATCTGTCTAGTCAAAACTATGGTTTTTCCAGTAGTCATGTATGGGTGTGAGAATTGGACCATAAAGAAAGCTGAGCACCAAAGAACTGATGCTTTTGGACTGTGGTGCTGGGGAAGACTCTTGAGAATCCCTTGGACCGCAAGGAGATCCAACCAGTCCATCCTAAAGGAGATCAGTACTAAATATTCATTGAATGGACTGATGCTGAAGCTGAAACTCCAATCCTTTGGCCACCTGATGTGAAGAACTGACTCACTGGAAAAGATCCTGATTCTGGAAAAGATTGAAGGCAGGAGGAGAAGGGGACGACAGAGGATGAGATGGTTGGATGGCATCACTGACTCGATGGACATGAATTTGAGTAAGCTCCGGGAGTTGGTGATGGACCAGGAGGCCTGGTGTGCTGCAGTCCATGGGGTTGCAAAGAGTAGGACATGACTGAGCAACTGAACTGAACTAAACTGAACTGATACGGACCTTTGTGGACAAAGTGATGTCTTTGCATTTTAATATGCTGTCTAGGTTTGTTATAGCTTTTCTTCCAAGGAGCATGTGTCTTTTAGTTTTATGGCTGCAGTCACTGTCTGCAGTGATTTTGAAGACCAAGAAAAGAAAATCTGTCACTGCTTCCACTTTTCCCCCTTCTATTTGCCATGAAGTGATGGGACTGGATGCCATGATCTTGGTTTTTTTAATGCTGTGTTTTAAGCCAGCTTTGTCACACTCCTCTTTCATTATCATCCAGAGGCTCTTTAGTTCCTCTTCACTTTCTGCCATTAGAATGGTATCATCTGCACATCTGAGGTTGTTTATATTCCTCTTGGCCATCTTGATTCCAGCTTGTGATTCATCCAGCCCAGCATTTTGCATGATACACTTGGCATGCGTGCTTGCTAAGTCACTTCAGTCAAGTCCAACTCTTTGCAACCTTATGGACTGTAGCCTGCCAACCTCCTCCGTCCATGGGATTCTCCAGGCAAGAATACTAGAGTCAGTTGCCATGCCCTCCTCTAGGGGATCTTCCCTACCCAGGGATTGAACCTATATACATTACATCCCCTGCATTGGCAGGCAGGTTCTTTACCACTAGCACCACCTACTCTGTATATAAGTTAAATAAGCAAGGTGAAAATATACAGCCTTGTCATACTCCTTTCCCAATTTTAAGCCAGTCAGTTGTTCCATGTCTGCTTCTAAGTGTTGCTTCTTGACCACTTAGAGGTTTCTCAGCAGATAAGTAAGGTGGTCTGGTACTCCCATCTCCTTAAAAATTTCCAGTTTGTTGTGATCCACACAGTCAGAGGCTTTAGCATAGTCAGTGAAGCAGAAGTAGATGTTTTTCTGGGATTCTCTCACTTTCTCTATGATCCAATGAATGCTCACAATTTGATCTCTGGTTCCTTTGCCTTTTCTAAACTCAGTTTATATGCCTGGAAGTTCTCAGTTGGCGTTGCCCTTTTGGATTGGAATAATTGACCTTTTCCAGACCTGTGGCCACTGCTGAGTTTTCCAAATTGCTGGCATATTGAGGGCAGCAATTTAACAGCATCATCTTTTAGGATTTGAAATAGCTCAGCTGGAGTTCCATCACCTCCACTAGCTTTGTTCATAGTGATGCTTCCTAAGGTCCACTTGACTTCACACTCCAGGATGTCTGACTCTAGGTGAGTGACCACATCACCATTATCTAGGTCATTAAGATCTTTCTTATATACTTAGGGGTAGAAATAGGGAACATCAGGACTATTCCATTTTTATGGAAGCACAGGAAACTAAAAGTTATTTTTATTTTACAAAAATTCCCAGTTTATGAAGGAGAAGTCCCCTCATAACCTTGTTAATTATGTAATTAACTTAAAAGTACAATAAAACCTTAGTGTATCCTATCTTTAAGTGGAAACCAAAGATGAACATCCAGACCCCTATTCTAACTCCTTTATTTTAAAACATGAGAGTATTTATCACATAATAAGGTACTAATGTTTGATAAACTAAATCTTCATTTTCTATGAATAGGCATTATTTTCTGGCTCTGTTAATTTTTAAAATATATTCCCCCTCCCCCCACCCAATACTGTTCCTCGCCTTCCTGCCCTTGGTCATAACCTCTTCACCCTACACCACTTTCCTAGTGTAACCCTTATTATTCCAGACTCAATTTACATATTTCTTCTCCAATTGGTTTTCCCTTAACCCCAAATTTAGGCTGGATGCCCTATATGCCTATATGCCCCATATGCTCTCATGGACATCTGTTTTCCCCATTAGCACTTATCTTTCTTATCATCTTTCCTGCTCCTCTATCAGCTTCCTGAGGACAGGAGGTGATCTAAACATTCATAGTTACAGAACCAGCAATATAAATTTGTTGAATGAGCAGATTACTCTTACATGATTTTCATTTTGTACCTAGGGATCAAGAAACAGGAGAACCTCAGCTCTCAGACTGGTTTAATCCTAAGTAAGAACCAAAAATTTTACTCAAAAATAATAACAATAATATAAATTATAATAATGTAATAATATTATATTACAATAACATAATAATAGTATAATAATATTAATATAACTCTATTTGAATGGGGAGTTTTTTTTTTTTCATCATCAAATTGTAGCTAAACTGGGAGGTTTCCAGGACTTGGATTTTTTACTTTTAAAAGTTTTTATATACAATCCTAGGACCTATTTATCAAGAATTAGGCAATTAAGGGTCATAATGAGAAAGCTGTTGTCTGGTTTAATGTTCCTGGTTTTATTAGGGGAAAAAAAATCTCTCTAGTAACAGCTTGAAAAATGTCATTAATAAGTCCTCTAGATTTTGGCGTTAACATTCAGGGGGAAATTTCATTCTTTATAATGGCTGTATAGCATAATTTAATTATTAACCATTCCCTGTTGGTTTTATATTGTTTGCAACTTGGGGGCTATTGTAAGTAATATTTCAATGAATAACCTTGTATATATATTTTTGTTAACTGCTGTGTGAATTTATCTATAAGATAAATTCCCATCATGGAATCATTAGTTTAAGAGGATATAAACATTTAAAACATTGCTTTAGGTTGCTAAATTGCCCTTTAATAATTATACTATGTATTTTCTAATCTATAGAGGATAAATGTTAATGGAGCAGCAAACATTTTGTAACTTGCAAAGCTTAATTGAAATATCTCCATTCCATTTGTATTTCTGTAATCCTTACTGAATTTGAGCATTCTCTATGTGTATTATTTGTTTATATTTCATCCCTTTTTTGTACTTATATTTTTAATGGATTGCAGTTGCAGAGAATTAGATTAATAATAATCCTTGCTTCATGACTGACTCTCATCATTATTCATGCAAAATTCACTTTGTGTTTTTTTGCTTATTTTTAATGAACCAAAATTACAAGTTCTATAACTTCAGCAGGGCTTTCCTGTGATGGTTCAGTGATAAAGAATCCATCTGCCAATGCAGGAGACACGGGTTCAGTCTTCCTAGGTCGGGAAGATCCCCTGGAGAAGGAGATGGCAACCACTCCAGTATTCTCACTTGGGGAAATCCCGTGGACAGAGCCTGGAGGGCTACAGTTAATGGGGTCACAAAAGGTTGGAAACGACTCAGCAACCAAATAGCAACAATAATAACTTCAGTATCTAGCTTGTGTCCTTTTCAATACCCCCAGTCTATCTCCTTGCCCTACCCCTTGAAATAACCACAATCCTGAGTCCTGGTTCATCATCCTCTTGCTTTCTTTTTTTAAGTGAAAATTTATATCTTCCAAGTGTATTCTGGAAAGTCAATTTAAAAATTTTAGTTGTTTATGACTTTATACCCAGGATACCGTGATGTATGTAATCTTCAAGGACTTATTTTTTTCCCCTTAAAAAAGATTGCTAAAATTCATCACCAATTTGCATATCACTGTCATTCATTTTGATGGCTGCATAATAACTGACTGTGGAAATATACCCCAGTTTGTTCATATACTGCTTGGTCAAAGTGCGCTTGAACTGTTTCCAGGTTTTTGCTGTTATGAACATAAAGAACAAATACTCTTTGGAGATACCTTTCCAAAGAGTTCAAAGAGTTTAAAATAGGAAAAATTTATAGATAAAAGAGCTGCCTAACATCTTCGACATTTGTCCCCTCACTGCACACCTGGCCTCCTTGATGTTCCACGGATACACCAAGTCGGCTGTCAACTCAGGGCGTTTGCTCCTTCTGTTTTCCTCTGTGTAGTTAAATGGCTCATTCTCTCACTTCCATCAGGACTCACTCTGATGTTATTTTATCAGTGATGCCTTCTCCAACTACTTATATAAAATGGCACCTCCCATTCCCTTTTCCCTTCACTCTGCTTTATTTTTCTCCATTGCACTCATCAACTTCTGACATAATACTTATTGGCAGGTTTATTCATTTATTATCTGCCTCTCCCAATAGAATGTACCTAGAAAAAAATCCTATATATAGTAGACACTCAATATTTGTAGAATAACATATGAAACATCTTGACTGATTGAAATGATAGCACTTCCATAACACAACAAACCATTACACAATATTTGTAATTATATTGGTAGTAGTGGTGATAATGGCAGAAGGCATTCTTTAATTAGAGGGCTTGTGCTTTATTATTAAGCATCATATACTGGCTTGCAGTCTAAAGTGAAATGGCCAGAAATTCCCTGGAGGTCCAGTGGTTAAGATTTGCTGCTTTCACTGCTATAGACCCAGATTCAATCCCTGGTCAGGAAACTAAGATCCCATAAGCTGTGCCATGTGGCCAAAATAATAGTAATAATAATAACAAATAAAACTTTAAAAAAACCAGCTGGGTAACATCTAATAAAAATGAACACACATAAACAGGAATCCTACTTGTAGAACTAGCTTATAAAAATAACAGCAATGATACATAAGATACAAGATTAAGAAAGTTTATTGTATCATTTTTCATAGTGAGGAAAATTCCAGAAATAAAATGAATCTCTATTCATAAAGAAATGGCTAAACTCCACATTGTGGAATATCATGCAGCCGTTAAAAATGAATAAGATTCTGTGCAGAAACACCTGGAAGGATTTTCACAAGGTTGTATTGAGTAAGAAAATCAAGATGCAGATAAATGTACATTGCTTCATTATTGTAAAACAAGATTTTAAAAGTCTGGATACACATGTGTATTTATGTATATGTGTATATTATTCAGAACTCAGAGTTGGCACTCATTGCTGGGAAATATTCTTGTCGTTGAGTCCATGCAAAAACTCCACTGGAGTCCAAGTAGCTGGGACCTCTCTCTATACAGACACTAAGCCAGCCGCAAGGGAGGCTGGACAAGGCATGTGGCTAACACCTGGAGGGCAGGTCAATTTGTCCACCTTTCAGAGGATGTCCTCTGGCCAAACTTGCCTCTCAGGGGAAGAGTTTAGTACTGATACTCTAAATCTGATTTAATGACCACTATAAATCTGATGACTCTTCTTCCTCTTCTGTTTCATCAAACAATTTCTAAACACAAGTTTTTTTTATTGCTTTCTGCTTTCAGAGATGCTTTTTTCTTTCATTCTGGCAGCAAATCTTTGATCTAATGAGGAAAGAGAGAGAATCTTCCAACCCTTTCACTGTCTCAAACAGACACTGATTTGCATCTGTAGCCTAATTTCTAAGTATCATTACTTAGAAATTGTGACAAGGGTACATCTGGCCAGTTTTAAGATAGAGTCTGAGATTTATGAGCCAAATAGAAGTGGTTGACTATTAATTCTAAGAACAGGGAGGGTTCAAATGTATAAAAAATAAACAAATGTATAAGCTAAAACAGTAAAAGGGGCAGTTTTGAAGAATTTGTTATTATATTATAACTAATATGCTATTAAGGGTTGACTTATCCTAACCATAATGGGTCTGTTTCTGATTGATACCTGTGATCACTAACAGCAAAATAGCTTCTCACTTTGTATTCAGTTCCTTCCAAAATGAAAAGTCTTAATTGACTTTAATAGTTTAACACCCTGCCTCCAGCCAAAATATTTATTACGAATGCTGTGGCTTATGCTGCCATTTTGTTATTATTACAAGCAAATCCAACATTATTCTTTCTTTGTGGACTAATCACATTTTCTTCCAGGTGGCAGTGATGGGGGCCTAGCATTAAGGAGAAATGAAAAGAGAATCCTTTGATCTTCTAGGGAAAGAGGAGGAATAAAAAGGAAAAGGAGAAGTTGGGGGTTGGGAGGGAATATAAGGAGATAGCGGTTCTTGTCTGCTTTAGGAACAATCAGAGAAATGTTCAGACACGGGGCTACTTCAGTTTAAGTTGTAGTCAGAGCCTTGGTGGCTTAGCTGGTAAAGAATCCGCCTGCACTGCAGGAGACCTGGGTTTGATCCCTGGTCTGGGAAGATCCCTTGGAGAAGGTAAAGGCTACCCTCTCCAGTATTCTGGCCTGGAAAATTCCATGGACTGTATAGTACTTGGGGTCACAAAGAGTTGGACATGACTGAACGACTTTCGCTTTCACAGAGCTCAAAGAAAAAAAATCCCTGGGCTCAAAAGGCATTATGGCGTAAGGACTGAAGTAAAGATTTGGAAGCCCAGCTGGCTGATCTTGAAGCCTGACTGCCATTTATTAACTGTGTGATGCCAAGCAATTTTCTCAACAAATCTGTGACCTAAATTCCCTCATATGAAAAATAGGAATGATAATGGAACTTATAGGACATTGCAAGGATTAAATAAGTAATGGAAAAAGCACTTAATCACTATTCCAGGAATAGGCACATGATAGTAGGCACATGATAATCATTAGTTATTATCACTTGGACAGCAACCTTTCCTCTCATAATGAAGTGGTACCTGATTGCTTTGTTTCTTTTCTGTTCAACAGAAAACGTCCTGATGTAATAGCAACAACCAACTGGCTTGCTCCAGTCATATGGGAAGGAACTTACAATAGACCGGTCCTGGAAAAATACTACAAAAGGCTAAACATCACTATAGGATTGGCTGTAATATGTGTTCCCGGAAAGTAGGCACTACTAATAGTCACCCCCCCACCTTTTTTTTTTAAATTTTGGGAAGAAATGTGGATAAGTAAGCACCCATAGACTTTCTACATTTAAAGAGATATTTATGAATAGCTCTAACCATTATTTCTGGCTGACAGTATAATTATTTTTAGTGGTTATTTTCTTCAGGCAGATCTGAATCCTTCATACTCCATGGGAATCTTTTCATTTATATCCAGTTAGTTTTCACAACAAACTCGATGGTTCCTCTTAGGCCCAGAAGATCACTACAGTCTCTTTCACTAACCAATACATTTAAGTTTTAGACCCAACTGCGCTATACTTACCTATTTATAGTTCTTAAGCAACAATGATGGGCCTTGCAGGTGGCACTAGTGCTAAAGAACCCATTTTGCTCTTGGCAAGTACAGGAGACATAAAAGATGTGGGTTTGATCCCTGGGTTGTAAAGATCCCCTGGAGCAGGGCACGACAACCTGTCACCTAAGCTCGGCCTCTGTTCACCTGTGCCAAATAGAAACAAGGAGACAGAGTTTTGGGAGGAGTAGAAAAGAGTAGTTTTATTGCTTTGCCAGGCAAAGGGGGCCCCAGTGGGCTCATGCCCTGAAGGCCATGTGACCTACCTTGGAGGGGGCAGTAAGGAATTTTATAGTGTTCAAGGAGCAGGGCATGATCAGCTTGTGGACAAGTCTTGGATTGGTTGGCCATCAAGGTGAAGCTTCAAGCATCATCAACCTGGTTTCAAACCAGTCTAGGGTCTATGTTCTTGTTGTCAGCAGTTTTCATCTGGAGGGGTTCTGCTTCCTGTAAAAACAGCTTAGGAAAGTGTGTCAGGCCTTTGTCTATATCTTTCAGGAAACTGAGAGTTTGGTGATTCTGTTACATAGCAGAATTATAGTCTAAATTGTTACCAGTTCCTTAGCCCAACAGCTCTTCTTAGCTTCCACGTCTTCACATTTCCCAATCATTAACTCTTGAGTCAGCAGTATACTTCAAAAGACAAGGACACAGGGGCTTGTACATGGTTTCAAACCCACTCCAGTATTCTTGCCTAGAGACCCCCCTGTGGACAGAGAAGCCTGGTGGGCTACTGTCCGTAGGGTTACAAAGAGTTGGACGTGACTGAAGCGACGTTAGAATGTTTAAATGACAGGTAATTTCCTGATGATTTCTGGCAAAATAAGTCTTTTGTGTTGTGTGTTTGTTCTTCATGTTTCACAGGTTTTCAAATCAGAGCCTGGCTGACTTCATCCAGTCTGCAAACAAGCACTTCCTCTTTGGCTACAACGTTGTCTTTTACTTCTTGCTGGATGTCTTCTCCACCCTGCCTCCCATAGCCTTAGGTCCCCTTCGAACATTTAAGGTATTTTTAATGGTCAGAAGTGATATAGGGAAAGATTTTTATTTCATATACATGAATAACTTATTTGACTACATCATAACACACATCCAGTATGAAGTCAACTTTCTCTTCGTTATGAATGCAAACCAGGTCTTCAAGGATGATTTTGGAGTGGAAACCCTGGGAAAATCTGTAGCTCAACTTAGTGCATGGTGGTATTTTAGAGATGGTGACACTTTCCCTTATGAGAGAAGACTTAAATCAGCAGCTTTCATCCCTTTTGAAGAAGGAGATTTCTACTACCATAGTGCAATTTTTGGTGGCACAGTTGAGGAGGTTTTAGACCTCATTAGAGAATATCAGAAAGGAGCTATTCAAGACATTAAAAATCAACTTAGCAGCACATATGAAGATCACCTAAACAAATATCTTTTTATCAAGAAACCGACTAAGTTATTATCACCAGAATACAATTGGGATCCAAGTTTTAGAACCCCTCCGCAAATTAAATGTGTCAAGATAGCATGGCAGTCAAAAAATGTTTGATGGTTGTATTGATGGGTTTGCGGATTAACAGCTTCGCTACAATAATTCCTCACATATGAAACTCATTAATATTTTCAGTTTTAGGAAATTAGAAAAATGTGCAATCTTCCAAACGAAACTGCTTTTCTCCTTCCGATTTTGAACCACCTAGATCTAACTTATGCTGGATTACAAATAAATGAATATTAACTAATGTTAATATACAGTAATGATGTCATATATGATTTAGATATAGATATATATTATAAATAATGTAGAAATATTTTGGAGGCATAAAATGAATGTTTTATGAAGAAACACATCCAGATTCTAGTCCAAAAAAAAATAATAGAAGGACAGATAAATAAGTAGATAGATAACACATAAATATCTATGGGATTTTTTAAATTGATTGTTTTTATTCTTGAATGTGCTAGGTCTTCTTTGGTGGTTCAGATGGTAAAGAGTCTGTCTGCAGTGTGGGAGACTCGGATTCCATCCCTAGGTAGGGAAGATCCTCTAGAGAAGGAAATGGCAACCCACTCTAGTATCCTTTCCTGGAAAATCCCATGGGCAGAGGAGCCTGGCCGGCTACAGTCCACGGGGTTGAAAGGAGTCGACATAACTGAGCACCTTCACTTTCACGTTCAGGTCTTCTTTGCTGCGTGCGGGCTTTCTCCAGTTGCAGTGAGTGGGGCTCCTCTCTAGTTTCGATGCAAGAGCTCATTGTGGTGGCCTCTCGTGTGGTAGAGCATGGGCTCTAGAGCACTGGCTCAGTAGTTGTGGCTCACGGGCAAGTAAAATCTCCCCAGATCAGGGACATAACCAGTGTCCCCTGCCTTGCAAGGCAGATGCTTAACCACTGGACCACCAGGGAAGCCCAGGGATAGGTGTAAGGGAAAAAATATTTGTCAACTCATTCATCAATTACTTACTCAGGTTTTTAGTGTTGAGATATATATTGCTTGTGATTAATCTGCTCAATTAGTATTCAGTCTATCTAATACCTGATTAAACTTAGGTGAGCTAGAGATATTCTATCAAATATGTGTCTTACTTTCATTGTTGCAAAGATACTGAGTTCATTTTTAAAAATGCTGCAAGAATTTTATTTTTTAAAAAGCTATATATTTACTGAATTCATGGTAAATATATTAGATGGCATCAGAAATAGAAAGAATGTTTCAAAAATGTATAATGTGTCTTCAAGCAGCCTACAGTCTAGCATGGGAGATAAAACTAACTACAAATATCTCTTTTAACAAGTTGAAAATTACCAAAATCTCATAAGGAAGACATGGCTAATATAGTGTGATGGTTCAGGAAAGGGAGTAATCACCTCCATAAGAATTTTTAATCAACCCTGAATATTCATTGGAAGAACTGATGCTGAAGCTGAAGCTCCAGTACTTTGGCCACCTGATGGGAAGAGATAACTCACTGGAAAAGACCTTGATGCAGGGAAAGATTGAAGGCAGGAGGAGAAGGGAATGACAGAGGATGAGATGGTTGGATGGCATCACTGACTCAATGGACATGAGTTTGAGCAAGTTCTGGGAAGTGGTGAAGGACAGGGAAGCCTGGTGTACTGCAGTGGTCCATGGGGTTGTAAAGAGTCAGATATGACTGAACAACTAAACAACAATAAGAATCTTTAGGTAGTCATACCCACTACGTTTCCATAAATTAGTGAGGCATTGCAGCACAGTTGTAAGAACTGGAGGTTCTAAAGTAAAAAATAAGCCATGATTTTAAGCCTCTTTTATGGGAGGAAAACTGAGTCTTAGTAAGTAGCCTATAAAAGATAAGAATTATTGGTTATAAAAAACACTAAAATTGTAAGGAATAATGATGATGACTGTAGCAGGCAGACCTTATGATGGTCTCCAATGATGCCCATATCCTGGTATTCATGTCCTTATGTACTGCCCCCCACCCACCTACATGCAGTATGAGCTGAATGTAGGGACTTCCTTCCAACCTACAGAATATGACAAAGATGATGGGATGTCCATTCCATGATGAGGTCACATAAGGTTATGATTTCCATCTTACTAGCAGACCTCTTTCTTGCTGTATTTGATTAATCAAGTTGAAATGTTGGAGAGACTTTCTCAGCAAGGAATCAAGGGCAGTCACCAACCAACAGCTAGAAAGGATCTGAGGCCCTCAGTCCAACAACCCTCGAGAAACTGAATTCTGCCAACAACCATGCCAGTTTCAAAGCAGATCTTTCCCCAGTTGAGTCTTCACATTATCTTCAGCTAATACCTTAATTGCAGCCTTGTGAGAGACCCAGAAGTAGAAGAAACCATGCCCAGATCCTGGAATCACAGAAACTGTGAGATAATAAAGATGTGTGGCTTTAAGACATTAAGTTCTGGGGTAATTTGTTGTATAGCAATAGATAACTAATACAGATACCATACCTGAAAGTGGGGATGATGCCACTAAAAATTCTAAAACTGTGGAGTGGTTTGGGAACTAGATAGTGGATGGAAGCTGGGAAGATTTCCCAGCACTTGACAAAACCCACATTTCTCTGAACGGACTGTTAGTAGAAATCTGAACGTCGAGGATGCTGTCAGTGAGAGCTCAAAGGGAAGTGAGGAACATATTACTGGAAACTGTAGGAAGGGAAATCTTTGTTATGTAGAGACAGAAAGCATGACAACATTGCCCCCTCCAGTTATGTGGAAAACAGAATATGCTTGGTTTTATAAAGAGATTTTTAAGCTTCCTTCTTGCTGTTTATAACAAAATGTGAGCAAATGAAGTGAGGAAAGAACTATGAAATAAAATAGCCCACTTTCTTTTTTTAATTAATTTATTTTAATTGGAGGATAATTTCTTTACAATATCGTAGTTTTTGCCATATATCGACATGAATGCCCCACGGGTGCACATGTGTCTCCCTATCTTGAACCCCCTCCCACCTCCCTCTCCAGCCCATCCCTCTGGGTTCTCCCAGAGCACTTGCTTTGAGTGTCTTGCTTCACGCATTGAATTTGCACTGGCCATCTGTTTTACATGTGGTAATACACACGTTTCAGTACTAAAACAGCCAACTTTCTCTGCAAATTCTGGTCCTAGATGAGATGACAAAGATTCACTTTTCCTTTTACTTCTCTCAAAACACAACTAAAAATCTGGAAATAATTACAGACAACCATAAAAGAACTCTGAAAGGTGGAAAGGGGAAGGCAGGCTGGCTAGGGACCTTAGGACTTGAGGAACAATAGGGTGGCACGTCCCCTGGGATTTCTCTTTGCTTCCCATATATTTTGGATGGGTACTGAAGAAGGCCCACAACTCAAACCACCAAAAGGTGCAGATTTTTTAAAGTTCCAGCAAAAGCCAGGTATCTCTGGCTGAAGGGCCAGGAAAGAGACAGCAGAGACCTAGTTGGGGAAACCCCATCTTCACCCCATTCCTGGTTGCCCTGCCTGCGCCAGCAGCACATGCAAGAGTAGGCGCCTGACTCCACCCCGAAGTCCCAACAGGCCTGGGGCCTCCTGGCCCCCCACTCCGCAGCGGAGGGAGAGCTATATCCACAATCTCCTGGACCACATTCAGTGGTAAAGGATGACTCCCAGTGCTAGAGGGAGGAGGAGGCCCGGGCTGAAGTTTCCCTCCCTCAGCGGCATCGGCACAGATGGAATAAGAAGCATGCTGGCACACGGTGCCCTAGAGAGAAGGTCCTGGGAAACACTCTCTGCCCCACAGGTTCAGCATCCGCCACCCATCCTCTACCCTAGCAGCACTGGGGCCCAGGAAAGTACCTTCCACCCTCCTCAAGCAGCACCGTCAGTGATTAGGCAGGCCCTAGGTAGTAGCCTTGAGAATAGGCTCAGGGAAGCAGTAACTGCCCCGTGGCCCAGCATCTCCCACACTCCTTCCAGCAGGACCTGCCTGGGAAAGCGCACTTGGGCCCTGCAGATAGCATCAACAGGATCAAACCGGAGCCCTGGGGGTGCCAGGTGAGCGCAGTGGACCAGAAAGACACTCTCCAGGCTCTGAAACCTATGTCGTCATTGGAACCAAAGCCGAAGAAAGTAAGCCAAGGGACTATGCACTAAACATGAACAGGGTGACTGCCTGCTGAAAGAAAAGACTTAAATAGGATCCAGAGTCTCATAACTTAATTCTCCAAATATCCAGGATACAAAAAAAAAAAATCACTCATCATACCAAGAACTGGAAAAGACACAACCTGCAGAAGAAAAGGCAATCAGCTGATATCAATATAAAGATAAACCAAATATTTGAATTATCTGACAAGGATTTGAGAGCAGCCATCATAAAAAATGCTTCAGGAGGAGGGATAAGTTGGAAGATTGGAATTGACATATACTCAATACTATATATTAAAAAGTAAGTAATAAGAACTGGGTAGCACAGGGAACTCTAGTCAATACTCTGTTATGACCCATATAGGAAAAGAATCTAAAAGAGAGTAGATACATGTGTATGTATAACCAATTTGCTCTGCTGTA